AACTAATTCTTACAATATCTTGCTGTGCAGGATCAATGTAGTCAAATGGTAGATGAACAGTGGAATTTTGCCTTCTCATGGAGTGACATTCTGCCAATCACTGTTTCAGAACTAAAGCACATATGACATGGTTATTCTTACTGAAACATTTTTTCTGAGGTGGATTGTTGACTTTAGTCATATTTCAGTGCATTGATTTCCTTTGTATTTGAATAGAGTGTTGCCATTCCAGCAACTGGTATCTGGATAAATGTATCACAGCTTCCTAACACTATTTTGCTCTTTGCCAGTTTGGTGTAGTGGTTAAGAGCACGGACTCTAATCTGGGAGAACCGGGTATGATTTCCCACTCCTCCACTTACACTTGGCTGGATGACCTTGGGCAAGCCATAGTTCTGATAAGAGCTGTTCTTGAAAAAGAGCAGTTTCTGTCAAGAGCTCTCTCAGTCCCACCTAACTTACAGGGTGTCTGTTGTGGGGAGGGGAAGGGAAAGGAGTTGTAAACCGCTCTGAGACACCTCTGGGTAATGAAGGGCGGGGTATAAATCCTACTACTACTACTACTACTACTACTACTACTACTACTACTACTACTACTACTACTACTACTACTACTACTACTACTACTACTACTACTACTACTACTACTACTACTACTACTACTACTACTACTACTACTACTACTACTACTACTACTACTACTACTACTACTACTACTAAGATTCTCCCTTGTTGGAAAGGCATATTTTGTAACCTGATGAATTTGAGGATTTGCTCAAATAGAAAACTTTCTTTTCTTTTCTTTTTTGCATTTTTGTGTGTGCACACAGACACCCATGCCTGTAAGTCATGGCGACCTCTGGTGACTCCTATTGGGACATAGAGGATATTTAGAGAAGTGGTTTGATAGTCTGTTTCTGGCCTCCTAGCCCTGGTATTCTCTGGAAGACTCCTGTCCAAATACTTCCAAGGGTCAGCCCTGCTTAGCTTCCAACTCGTCTGACGAGTTCAAGCTTGTCTGGGCTATCCAGGTCAGGGCAAATAGGAAGCATTTCAACGCATGTTGCATCCACACTGGTGCTACATGTATCATGGTGACTGACTACAGCTGACAGATGCTCACAATTCAATTATTTAACTTGATTATATGTTCCTAAGGGAAATCATGGAAAGGCCATACACAATTTGTCAACTACACAGAGTGTTTGTGCTGCCTTTTCATCTGTACAACTGGCAACATCTGAGCCCTGGCACAATGACATAACTTACATCAAAACCCGGAAGTGATTTCATCATGCCAGAAATGACACTCTAGCATTTGTCCCGAACTCAAGGGTTTAACCATAAAGTTTTGGGTGAAGCCTAGAACACCATCCAATTCCAAATTCTTAAAAAGAGCCAAAGAAACAGATTGCTGGGTTTTAGGCAGTAACAGGGTAAAGAACAATTAAAATAATTTCTCTTCATATGGCTAGCTAGAACATGACACTGCTTGAATGAGATTACTAAATCTTTTAAAGACATTGGCCAAGAAAAAATGTCTCTTTAAACAGCCATGCCTTATCCATGCACGGATTCAATTTGTCTCACTTTCCACCACCTCACTCCAGCAGAAACCCCAATATTTCTATGACTATGCAGCAGCTGTAGTGTCATGTGTCCCAAGTGATTGGGACAGATTACTGGAACATAAACTATTAGATCTGGGTATCACCCATGACATGATAGAAGTCTTGAGTAGAAAAGAACTGCCTCAGCTCATTAGAAGATGTTTGAGAGACTTTGGCCCTGTCCACACAAGAGCATTAGGACCAGGAGAGGGACAGAACGGGGGCGGAGCAAACGGGCGCGATCCCACCTCAACATCTGGGAAGCATACCGTGTCCGTCCCCGATCGGGCCCTTCCAGCGATGATCCGCACCAAAAAAGAACCACCTACCGAGGTGGTTCTTTTCGAACGGCCGCAGCAACGCTGGCCATGGGATCACCGGCGCGTTCTTTCGCCGGCGCATCCCCGGCTCATTGCCGAACTGCGCATGCTCCCACATGCGCAGTTCAGCAGACTCCCGTGCCTTTCTCCCCGTCTCCCCGGCATCTGATCGTGCCGGGGAGCAAATGCACAGTGGCTCAGGGGATCTGTATGATCCTGTCGCCGCGTGCCTATTTAGGTGCGGCTTTTTAAAAGCCGCACTTTGGCCGTCCCTTCTTCCCTCGTGTGGCAGGGACCTTTGACTATGAGAGCACATCGATTAGAGCCTGTGGAGTGTGCTTGACCTTTTCAGAAGGCATTCAGCCTCCAACAACAATGCCAAACTACTTATCTGAGATCATTCTTCCAATGTATAGAAGGGCATTCATGTTAGAGTGCCTGAATGCCCTACCTTCAGCTGTTATGTCAGGAAGATTTAATGGAATTTCATACTCAGGTTGACTCTGTAATTGCGGCAACATTAAAACTGATTCTATGGATCATATTTTGCTTGGTTGTCCCAAATTTTCAGCTGTAAGAGATGAACTGATCTCCCCTTTATTCAATCAGAACTTCCTCTCTCCAGAAGCAAAATCATCCTGGTTACTTATGCTCTCACACACTTTTTGTACATGTGCGGTAGAGGCAATTAACTTACTTCAGACTGTGATTGGGGTAGGTCCTTAAAATGCACAGTTCATTCACTCAGCAAACTATTGATTCCAGTGCAGCATGAAGAATGAAACTGAAAAGCACAGGGTTGGGGGGGGGGTTGCCCCCGGGAAGTATTTATTTATATGCCTCTATACGTGGATTGGAGCTGCAGTGGCTCAAGTGGTTAAGACGCTGAACTGCAGGCTGTGGAAGGTCAGTAGTTCAGCAGTTCAAGACCTGGGTGCCGCATGATGGAGTGAGCTCCCATCTCTAGTTCCAGCTCCTGCCAACCTAGCAGTTCGAAAGCAAGAAATTGCAAGTAGATAAATAGGTACCACTTCGGTGGGAAGGTAACAGCGTTCCGTGCACCTTGGTGTTTATTCATGCCGGCCACATGACCACGGAAACATCTTCGGACAGCACTGGCTCTTCGGCTTTGAAACGGAGATGAGCACCGCAACCCTAGAGTCGGATTCGACTGGCTTTCGAGCAAGGGAACCTTTACCTTTTTTTATACGTGAATTGGCAAAAGCATTCAGGATCAGTGGTCCCAGGCAGGAGATCATTAAACAAAGACATGTTTTTGATGGCACATGTGCAGACTCAGAAAGCAATCTGAATAACTGACATAAAACAACAACAACAACCACACACAATACCATTTTTTGTGAACTGGACATTGACCTCTTTTTTAATTGCATTTATTTGTAGGTTTTTATGTTACAAAAGCAAAAAAAAAATACAGTACATAACTAATTTTTTGGAGTTTATGTTAAACATTCTTTCCAAACCATTTGTGAACTCTATACCATCTTTTTTGAAAAGTTTTCCCATCTTTTCCTGAAAGTATCGTATTCAATTTATCCATTTCTGCAAGTTCAAATATTTTAGTAACTAGCTCTTCTCTAGTGGGTATTTTCTCTGCCTTCCAACATTTAGCAACAAGAATTCTGGCTGCAGTAAGGATATATGACAAAATGCATGTATCATCACACCCAAACCCTTCTGGTATTATATTTAGCAAATAAATTTCTGGTGACAGATGTAACTCTATATCCATAATCTCTAATATTAGCTGTTTAATATCTTTCCAAATTTTATAAATCTTCTCGCACGGCCACCACATATGGAAGAATGTACCTATGTTATTTTTGCACCTCCAACAGTTTCTTGAAACCTACTTATAATATTTGGCCATTCTATCCGGTGACCAGTGCCACCTATAAAACATTTTAAATATATTTTCTTTATACGACGTTGATCTTAGTAATTTAACTGCTTTCCAGATTTTTGACCAGTCATCTATGTTCAGGCTATATCCTGCATCCATACAACCATTGAAGATTTAACTATTTCATATTTCATTACATCATGTAGTAAAAAATTACGCAACTTTTGAATCAGCTTATCGGAGGCTGATAGCCATATATTGTCTAAATCTTTTTTTGAACTATAAAAGCTCATTGTTTTGTCTTTAGTAAATCTTGATTGCAGTTGTGAAATACCCCACCATGTAAGGTTTATATTCATTGCTCGTAGTGCCTCAATCGATTTTAACATTGTTCTCATTCAATAACATTTCATAGGTTGCCCTTTTATTTTCAGACATCAAAGTCGGTTTTACAAAGACCTCGAGAAGTGAGACCCAGATGGGTATTTTAGGATAAAACCTTTCTTTTATTTTCCTCCAGATCTTTATTAATGCCCCTGGACATTGACCTCTTTGATTGCCACACGCTGGTGGGGTAACGTCTGTTTACCTCAACCCAACCCTTGCCACTTAGGGCTGGCACTCTGAAGCAGCATCACCCAAAGGACCAGGCCTCTGCAATTAGACATAATTGTCACCACTCCACAAACCATAAACTAGAATTGTCTCTAAGCGTGTGAACTGACGTCAGAATAAACTTTTCCCTGAAGGTGGTTATTAGGTAGATGGCGCCCAAAGCAGAGGCAGCAATCCTACACAGATCTAATTTGAAGAAAGAACCACTTCATGGAATGGGACTTACTCCTGGGAAAGTGTTCTTCAGATTGTAACCTGAGAGGCAAACTCCTCGGACCCTGGGAGGCAGCTCCTACTTGTCATACAATGTGCCTTAGCAACATCAACAACCAAAGTCTCAGCAGGTGTTAAAGGACAAACCGGGAAGCCTTTACTACAAAAGTGGAACATGCAGAATAACTGTCCACGCTTTCCTTTGCTGCACGGTGCTCCCATCCTCTGGCACACTTTGTTCCCATTTAGAGGTGCAGATTCCCCACCTCCCCAGGGTTTTCATGTGCAAACCTTCAGTGTGTGTTGGTCTTCTGCACTATGCAGGTGATCTTCATGTGTTTCTGAGGGCAGAAACGTAATTCCATGCTCTTGATGGACATGGAATTTGGTAACTGGAAGGAAAGATTTTCCCTTAAAATGTTGCTGGTGTTGCTCTTGCTGCTTGTACTGCTGACTTGTAATGCAGGCAAGAAGCATTCCATGAATTGCACCACAGAAGTTGATCCTCTTCCTATATCTCATGAGTTTTCTCAGCCTGGTGACTTTGTCATTGGGGGGATTGTGTCTCAGGTCTACTTAGTGCACGAGACTCCTTCTTTTGAGAAGCAACCCTCGCAGATGCTGATTAATGAACCTTTGTAAGGAATTTGTGCTACATTTTTTATATTTGTGTGATCTACTTTTTAAATTTTATGTGTATGGTTTGGCTATTAGTTTACTGCTCTGGCATTGTAGGATAATGTACATTTAATAGAAGTCCTCTCATTTAAAGTCTTCCTAGTTATATGCTACAATCTGTTCTTTCTATTTTGTTACCTTCCCCCATCATTTTAAACTTATTTGAAACAGTTATGTCTCTTGAAGCACAACCGTCAACAGTTATACCCTCCTAAATTTATTAACACCATTGGATTAAGAAGGCTGTAACACTGTTTCAGATTCCATTTTTAGCAAGTTTGTATCATACCATTGTTCCATTTGATTTACTCTGGCAGAGAATACAGTGGTGAGCCTCTTCTCTTAAAGACGTGGGTGATACACGGAAGGTCATGACATAATTATTTGTGTGGCCTCCAGGATCTCAAAACTTGTAAAAAAAAACGCTGGATGATAATTCATTGAGTGACTGTATTAAAAGTACTCCAGCCACACACAATGATACCATATGATCTTCCTGGGTGCATAGAATTTAAGCTTCTCACATTAGCTGTTTAAAATTCCATGATTAACTAAGATTCCATGAAGAGTTCCATTGTTCCATTTGATTTAGTCTGGCAGAAATACAATGGTGAGACTCTTCTGTTAAAGAGGTGGGACCTTATGGCATAAATATTTGTTTGGCTTCTATAATCTCAAAACTTTTAAAACAGGGCTTGGTGATAATTCTTTCTGTGAGTGTACTAAGAGTACTCCAGCCACACACAGCTAGGAAATGGTACTATGTGATCTTTGTGGGTGCTTAAACTCACAAAATTTTGGCTTGGAATCTATGGACCAACAAACAAAACATACAAAAAATATTAAAATTATTAGCATGCAATGTAACAGAGCAATTAGGGCAAGAGTACCGAATTCCATCTCTTATTTGTGGAGAGATTATGGAGGAAAATTGTTTGGAAAACTGACGTATAGGCTTATATATTCCTTGTATGTTACAGGAATGTATTACAGGAATGTAGATAAGCATAAATCTCCAGAATACTCATTTATCCGATGTTTACTTTCATCATTTCATTTCATAGGGCCACCAAAATCATTATTGGATGGACCCTATCCTTTTATCTTTTTCCATGAATTAGGAAAGAGCAGTGTTACAACCCATGCTTTTTGTCCACTGCCTTCCTAGGAGGCAACAATACACAGGGATATGTTTTGGGTTTTTTAAAAAAATAATAATAATAATACTGACACCTCACTTGTGGAATCCTTCTGCCTTTGAGGCTCAATTGATGCTCGCATTGCTTTCTGATAGGTGCCAGGAAAAAAACATTAAGTTCACCAAGGGGTTCACCATTAAGGGGTTTGTTTTGTTTTTAAACCACACCTTTAGTTTGGAAGCAGAACATGAGACAGACTGGGGGATATTCATGCTTCTCTAATGGAAAGAGAAGGAGTCCATTAGTTGCCACCAAACAGTTTATTAATCAAATGGTGAACAAAAGCATTAGGGAAAACATATTATATAATTCTTCCTTATATTAGGTAGTCCCAAAGTGCCTTTAACTTCACAGCGTCTGAAATAAGGTCATAAAGATTTTTTGGGGGAAATGTTTATGATTAGAAGTTTCAATATACTTCAGCTTTGAAAAGCTACACAGCTGTGAACCAGGTCTGACCAATGAGCCAAAAAAAATGAGCATTCAATTTAGAGAAATCATAATGGCAATTTAAAGATTATTTGAAGTTAAAGGCACCATTAAAAGATGAATCTGTGATAACGGAAGGTACAACTCAACTTTTGATGATTGCTTGAGCAACTGCTGACTCTAATTACAGATCAGAGCCAAAGAACTACCAGCACATCCTGGCTTTGGCATTTGCAATAAAAGAGATTAATGAGAACCCCCATTTCTTACCAAACATTACTTGGGGGTTCCACATCCTCAACAGTTACTATAATGCAAGGATGACCAATAAAGCCATCCTGAGTTTGCTTTCCACACAACAGTGCTTTGTCCCCAACTACAAGTGTGCTGTTTTGAAAAATCCAACAGCAGTTATTGGAGGGTTTGATTCTGAAACATCAGTCAATATGGCCACCATTATAGCCAACTACAAGATTCCACAGGTAGGCCAGACAGAATGAATAGCACATTATAGGCACACTACTGAACATTCTATAGTAATTCATCTGAAAAAATATATATACCTATATGTTATCTTTCAGGTCACTTATGGGTCATTTTCCCCAACCCAGAATGATGATTCCACAGGTAGGCCAGACAGAATGAATAGCACATTATAGGCACACTACTGAACATTCTATAGTAATTCATCTGAAAAAATATATATACCTATATGTTATCTTTCAGGTCACTTATGGGTCATTTTCCCCAACCCAGAATGATGGAACTCCTTTCTCTTCCTTGTACCAGATGGTCCCAAAGGAAGCTTATCAGTACATGGGAGTTATCCGTTTACTGCAGCATTTCAATTGGGAATGGATTGGGCTCTTAGCTGTGGATGATGACCGGGGAGACAGGTTTTTGCAGAGTGTGGCACCTCTATTGTCCGAAAATGGCATCTGCTTTGCTTTCTCTCTGAGATTACCAAAACTCACTTATCTGAATGATTTGACAGATTCAATTTTAAGACAAGCAGAAATGTCTTTGGTCCTTTTTGAGGACAAAGCCAGGGTATGCTTTGTTTATGCAGAACATCCAGCCCAATTCGTTTTGAGACTGTTGCTCTTTCTAGCACCCTTGGTTCCATTTCCACCGTTGCATAAAGTATGGATTGTTACATCTCAGTGGGATTTTGAATCAATGTCCTTTCAAAGGATATGGGATATAGAAAGCTTCCATGGGACCATCTCCTTTGCAGTTCACTCCAAGCAGCCACCAAGATTCCAACATTAACATTTTTTTCAAGCCATTAACCCTTCCTGGGCAAAAGGAGATGGTTTTATCCAGAACTTCTGGGAGCAGGCATACAGCTGTTCGTTGAAAGTTTCTGACATTCTGGGTGATAGCGAGAATGCTTGCACAGGTGAAGAGAAGCTGGAGACTCTTCCCGGGATTTTGTTTGAGATGAACATGACTGGCCACAGCTACAATGTCTACAATGCTGTCTATGCTGTGGCACATGCTTTGCAGATTATATACCAATCCAGATCCAATGACAGACAACTGTTAAAGGGAGAGAAAATGGTGTTTCGGAATGTCCAGCCATGGCAGGTACTATATTACAATGTGGTCATTGTGCTTTCTGAAGTGTATAGTTTACTATGTTTCTCTTAATTTCTATGCACAAGGAAGAAAAATGTCAGCATTTTAAGCAAACAAAAGTAATTGCTACATGAATAGCAAAAACTGAATAGTGTGAAGTGGAGATACTGCAAAGCTCACAACAATTCTCATTTCTTTTTCTCTGTCAACTAGCTGCATCAGTTTCTCAGGAACATCACGTTCAACAACAGTGCTGGTGACACCATGCATTTTAATGAAAATGGGGAACTGAGAGCTGGTTTTGATGTTACCAACTGGGTCACTTTCCCCAATGGCTCCTTCATTAGAATCCAAGTGGGAAGACTTAATCCTTGGGCTCCTTCCGGCAAAGAATTAACCATTCATGACAATCAAATCATATGGCATAGAACCTTTAACCAGGTGGGACACTGAAGTAGAAGCTTTTGGGTGAAGAACTCAAATGAGATTCTTTTTCTCCCCCATAGATGTGCCAGCACTTGAAGTATGGGATGATTCCATAGTCCATCTTTAGCCCTATGGGTTGATTCCTGCTTTCATTGTCCCTCAAGGTCACACAATTCTTCTCCTTCCTATAACTCACACCTCAAATGGGTTTTGTCCATGCAGGTCCCATGATCCCCAACATTGACTGCTGTGTAGTCAAAGAGGACTCTTCCTCCTTTTTCACCAATGAAACAGTTTGTTGAATCCCATTCTAGGGCTTAAGGACCTCTTCCTTGGGTTGTGTTCTATTGGATTACTGAAATCCCTCATTCTTCCAGTGTACTGGAACAAGAAATGTCCCTGAGGTGGACTTGTCTAATATTAACACAAGAAATGAAGCTGTCTAGTTGGCCATTTTCTCAGTATGTTTGCTTACCATGAAAGATCTAACATGACATCTTGAGATACCCTGGAGAAGGAACCAATATGTAATATGGATTTGCTGTTTACATCTGTCTTGAACATGATGAAATTGTTCCCTATTCTAACGTCACACTTTAATTCTAGCATGTCTGAACACATCCTTGGGCTATTCTCTGTATTGTTAGGTTTCACATGAATATTTTTCATTATAGCTGCAGTTACTTCTTAACCTTAAGACTTGCTTACAGGGCAAGGTATGCTTCATGTGTTTATGGTGTCAGCTATTATATCTTTATTGATTATCTATAGCTGGACTTTGTACAGTGATGCATTAATCATTTTGCATATTTTTCATACTGAATCTACAGAAAACTTGTCTCTTATTGTTCTCATCACAGTTCAAAATGAAGATGTATGCAATATGAGCACTTTTTATCTAAATATTAGTATGTTTGGGACTTGAGGGTAATATATCATGTCAGGTATTGCAGGCTGTGGATGCTTTCACCCATTGTTGAGCAATGCACTCTCAAAGCCTAAAAGCACTATCTGCAACCAGATTGAGAGTACATTATCCAATGTGTGTGAAAGCAAACTATGGTTGCAGTCTCACGGAATATTAGCCACGCTACAGAGATGGGAGATAGGCAGATTTTCCGGGCGCAATCACACCATCACATCTGGGAAGTGTAGAGCTCCGGTGCCAAACCCGAGGCATCCCGCTTAAGATGCGGGGTAAAAAACTAGTACCTCCGAGGTACTGGTTTCCGGAAACCGCGGGGCAAGGGCTGGCGCCTCATCTTGTTTCCGGTGGAATCCCGTGGCATCCGGTGCCCGCCCATGTCTTGTCGAGAATAGGTGTTTTTTTCCAAGTCTCCACAGGATAGGCACAAGTGCCCAATGGTGCATGCACACAAAGAGGCCCCCTCCCACTGCAGCCAGTCTTGCCACCTCTCGAGGGTCACTATGGCCACTGTCGCGCAGGTGGTTAGAGTGGCTGTGAGAGGGGGCCCACCTCCCCCTCCATTGGCTATGCCTAAGAGCTCTGTTGGGGTCCGGAAGCATCTGTCCGGAAGCATCTGTCACCCTCTCTGGTAAGCCCACCACCCGCCTTCGGATGTGCAGATACGATTGCTCAGTCATGCGTATGTACAAACGTCAGTTTTTTTAAATAAACTATCCCGTTTGCCATGGAAGCAGCACCTAGTGATTGCTGGTATGATCATGCTGCACCACTTCTTGGCTGCGCTGCAGGATAGTTGTATGATTGGCACCTCCCACCCAAACATGGGACCTTGACAGGTCCGCGACAGGACGTCTGATCGTGCAACCGTGTGTTATTTTGCTCCGGGGCAAACAGCCACACTTTCCCCCTGCATTTTCCTGCCCGTGTGACCAGGGCCTATGTTTTGTACATCAGTAATGTGTCTCATTTGAATCTCAGTTTTCTGCTAATGATTTGCCAAAGTTTTTTTTAACCATTCATTGATTTAGGTATTAATAGCATTTATCTCCAAAGAAGATGTGAAGCTGCTCAGAACATTATTCTCCATTTTGTCCTCATAATAATAACCCTGTGAGGTAATTTAGGCTAAGAGAGGTCTCCTGATCTTTGGTTACGCAGTGATCTTCTATGGAAGAACAGGATTTTGATGCTGAATTTGTAGATCTTAGTTCAACAGTGTAGCCATGGCACAATACTGTCTCAAGGATGTGCTGACTGGCTATCACCAGTGTACCAGGGACTAACATCTCTTTCTGACTTTGGACAGGTGGTGCCTCTTTCTGCTTGCAATGAAAAGTGCCATCCTGGGTATAGCAGACAAAAGAAGGAGGGAGAGAAATTTTGCTGTTATGACTGTGTTCCTTGTCCAGAAGGGATGATCTCAGAAAAGAAAGGTAGGAGACACAATATCAACTATATTCTCTAAATACAATATACTCAAGAAGAACAATGTAATGGCTGTCCATACTTTATGTGACCTGGAGTGTCTGTGAACAATTATTCAATAGTTTAAACAATTTAAAGTGATTAAATTTTTTACAGTTTTTCTTTTGTTTTAATGTCTGCCACCTTGGGGGACATATTTGGATGGAAAGGCATCATAGAAATATTTTAAATAAATGAATAAATAGTAGTTTTCAGGATCATTCACAAAAGCAAGTGTTCAAAGTGTTGCACAATCTTGACACTAATAATCATTAACACAATCTGTAAAAAGGGCCAATGTCAGAGAGGGTCAGATTTCCTCCGCTCCCCCTAATTAATAGGTTTCTCCTCCTCTTGTAAGTTGCTCTGAAGATTATCCTTTAAAATTGGTAAATGGAGGAGGAGGAGGGGGAGGGGGAAGAGATTGGATTTATACCCCACCCTTCACTACCAAAAGGAGACTCAGATTGATTTACAATCTACTGTCCCTTCCCCTCCCCACAACAAACACCCTGTGAGCAGTGTTCCTTCTAAGCTGAGTTAGTGTGAGCTAGCTCACAGTTTTTTAGCCTCTGGATCACACATTTTGGTCTTAGCTCAAGAAGGACAGCTCCAGAGCAAACTAATTTATGCCATAGCCAAATTGCTTGCTCAGAACTTTAATGCCAGTAGCTCATAAAGTAGAATTTGTGCTCACAAGACTCCACAGCTTAGAGGAAGCATTGACTGTGAGGTAGGTAGGGCTGAGAGAGCTCTCTCTCGAGAACTATCCTTCAGAGAATAGCTCTGAAATAACTTATGACTGACCCAGGGTCACAGCAGCAGCTGCATATGGAGGGGAGGGGATTCAATCCCAGTTCTCCCAAATTAGAGTTCGCACTCCTAACCACTATACCAAACTGGAGAAGAACCACAGGAGTACAAAAGGAACACATTTAACTTCTTCAGCTTTTTGATACAATACCCATTTTTTTCTCAGTATACATCTTCCTCAGGGAAGAACTGGTTTTAAAAACAAGCAATATTATTCAGACTGTTCTTTTCATATTTAATCATTAAAAATAAATCCAATGTTGACTTCAATAAGGGAAGGGAAGCTATGATTCCAGCATGAACTCCAGCCTAATCAGATGCCAATATCATCTGTACTTAACATGATAGAGCCAAAGGTCATTAGAATCAGTCACAAGAAGATAAAATATAAATAACTCTGGCCCCGGTCACACGGGCAGGAAACTGCGGGGGGGAAGCGTGGCTGTTTGCCCTGGGGCAAACTAACATGCAGTAAAGCGATCATACCTCCTGTGGAGGTTCTGTGGAGGTACCGTGGAGCTTCTGTGGTTACGGAGAGGCGCTGATCACAACACATGCCTGCACGCAACGAAGAAGCACGCGGCGCGGCGAACTAGTTTTCTTTTTTTGTGTTCACTACGAATGCGCATGCTCCATTGGGTGCATGTGTGCAACCACGGGGACTTGGGGGGAAAAAAAACCTTTTTCACAAGGGGACATGGGCGGGCACCGGATGCCACCGAAAACGCAATCAGACGCCCGCCCTTGCCCCGCAGTTTCCGGAAACTAGTACCTCCGAGGTACTAGTTTTTTGCTGCGCGGTTTCGGGAGGAAGCCTCGGTTGTTCCACAGAAGCGCTACGCTCCCCAGATGTGCTGGTGAGATCGCGCCTGGAAACTCCGCCTGTCTTCCGTATCTCTTGCGTGGCTAATGTTGCGTGTGACCGCAGCCTACGTTAACATAATCTGATCTAAAAGTCAATAAATCATTTCCATGTTATATCTGAGAGCTAAGAGAGAGATACTGAAACTTAAGAAAGTTCCCATAATAAATGTCTTGAAATAGTTCAGTAATTTTTTCATTTTTCATTTGTTTTTGCAGACATGGATAGCTGTGTAAAATGTCCACAAGATCACTATGCCAATCATCACCACAATGGCTGTGTCCCCAAAGATATAAGCTTCCTTTCTTACAAAGAACCATTAGGTATCGTCTTAATTACCCTAGCTGTTTCCCTTTCTCTGGTCACAGTACTGGTGTTTTGGACATTTGTGAAGCACCGAAACAGTCCCATAGTCAAAGCCAACAACCGAAGCCTGACATATATACTTCTCATCTCTCTTGTTCATTGCTTCCTCTCATCTTTGCTGTTTATTGGGCAGCCTGGCAAGGTCACCTGCCTTCTCCGACAAATCACTTTTGGCATCATATTCTCCGTAGCCATTTCTAGTGTGTTGGCCAAAACCATGACTGTACTTTTGGCCTTCAAGGCTACCAAACCTGGGTCTATAGTGCGCTTATTTGTGGGGAAAAGACTGGCATATTCAGTTGTGCTTTTATGCTCCCTTGTTCAAGTGGGTATTTGTGTTTTTTGGCTAACTACTTCCCCACCATTCCCAGATATGGACATGCTGTCAATGAATGAGAACATCATACTGGAATGTAATGAGGGTTCAGCAGCTATTTTTTACTTGGTCTTGAGCTACATGGGCTTTCTGGCCCTAGTGAGCTTCATTGTGGCTTTTCTAGCCAGGAAGTTACCTGACAATTTCAACGAAGCCAAATTTATCACTTTCAGCATGGTGCTCTTCTTTAGTGTTTGGCTCTCCTTTATTCCAGCTTACTTGAGCACCAAGGGGAAATCTATGGTGACTGTGGAGATCTTCTCCATCTTAGTCTCTAGTACCGGTTTACTGACTTGCATTTTTTCCCCCAGATGTTACATAATTGTGCTAAGGCCTGAGCTAAACAATAGGGAACTCTTAATGAAGAGGGGGAAATGAAGGTAATAAAAATCTGCATTTTTCTTTCATATGTTCCCCAATGAAATGACATTTACCATTTCCAAACTTCTTGTAAAAAAAGTGTAGGTCTCAAACTGGTGCGGACCTAGTTTACATGTGTCATGGAGTGCTGTGTCACACACAGAGTCACAGAATTTAATTGCTGATTGTCTGTTAAATTTGCTGTACAACATCTCCACAACCATTTACTATATTGTTTTGATCATTTACTCAAGTGATCACTTATCATATTCATTCTATATACCACTATGCAGATCTGCAAATGAATGATGCATCTCCCTTTCCTCAGAATGATGATTTTGCTGAATTGTAACTTCTGATAGAGGAAGAAAGGATTCCAGACAGAGCCAATCCCATATAATTATCATTCGACAAAGTAGCTGAGCACAAGCCTGCTTTTAGTCATGATCCTTTCATTTTAGAAGGAAAATATTTTGGGTACACAGCAGTGGAAATCTAATGGTATTTTCTTGAGATTAATCCACACTGTGGTTGTGGTCACATGTGCCAGAAAAACAGGGGGGTCAAGTGAGGCTATTTCTACTGGAGGAATTTGACCCACTGTTGCACGATCACACAGTCCTTTGAAGCTGTGGGTGCAGCCCGCCACTGCATGATCACACCCAATTGCGGGTGAGTCATGGGTTTTTTTTTGCCATTTGTTTCCAAAGTGCTTAAACAAGGAATTGATGACTCGCACCTCCGCACTGAGGGCTCCCTATGGAGTGTGCAATGATGCACATACTGAAAAGGGGGGAAAACAATTGCCTGGAGTCAGGATGGCCTGATCAGACCATTCCAATGCCATGAGAGTGTGCTGGAGCAATCAGACAGGGGAAACTCCATCCTTGGACCATAGCAAATCGCTTGCTACTGGACTTTCCCCAGTGTCTGTTTACTCTGCTTCTGCGGTGAAGCAACATGGTTTGCTGATAGCTGTGGGACACTTCCCAGATGTTCGTGTTTGATCGTGCATTTTAAATCCACCTGGCATTCACACCTATGTTGGGGCTAATTGTATGTATGAAAAAAACTTGAATAAACTTGGGCCCCGGTCACACGGGCCGGATATTGTGGGGGGGAGGCGTGGCTGTTTGCCCCACAGCGAAATAATGCGCGACTGCACGATCAGGCATCCCCTCGTGGTCCCATCAAGGTCCCGTGGTTAGGGGGAAGGTGCCGATCACACGACGCGCCAAAGAAGTGGTGCGGCGCAGCACGGCAAACGGGATTGTGTTTTGAGTTTTTTTAACCTGAAGTATGCGTATGCCCCATTGGGTGCTTGTGCGCATCCCTGGAGACTTCGGGGGGGGGGACATTTTCGCAGTGGGGCATGGGCGGGCGCCGGATGGCACTGGAAACGCAATCAGACGTCCGCCCTTGCCCCACGGTTTCCGGAAACTAGTACCTCTGAGGTACTAGTTTTTTGCCGCGCATCTTCGGCGAGAAACCTTGGTTGAGCCACGGGAGCTTTACACTTCCCAGATGTGGCGGTGAGATTGCACCCGGAAAATCCGCCTATCTTCCGTCTCTCTAGCATGGCTAATGCTCCGTGTGACCGGGGCCTTGATTAGGTTTCTGAGTAGAACTGCTTAGAATCAATCTGTATGGGTAAGATTTCAGATCAAATGATCCAACAGTATCTTACTTTAGAGTAATTGATTGAGACCCTGTCATCTATCTCCTCTCAAGCATGGAGGCAACATTACAGCATATTTTTCTTTGAAGTGGTATGGTATGAATTCAAGAAAGCCCAAACTAGCTGATATTGAATAGGGACCGCCGCCGCCACTACCACCACCGCATATATGCGGAGCAGGACTGTCGGGATAGGCTAATGAGAAATCAGAACATCATGGCTCACGCTGTCCCCCTTTTCTGATTTCGATCTTGGACATCTTCCTGGCATGTAATGGAGAGTGTGTAAGTCTAGTCCTCCATGTATCTTGTGATTTGTGAATTGTTTTTAACTTCTGTGGTTTTAATGTATCTGTTTTATAGCCCTTTGTGCCCTGTAAGCTGCCCTGAACCTGCGTGCGGGGAGAGCAGGATAGAAATTGAATGAAATAAATAAAATAAAATAAATATTGTAAATACCTACTGGTGAGAAGAAGGCTGCTGTTTTAGAATCAAGACAGCAGATTAATTATTCAACCCTATGTTGAATGAACATATACCATTCTAGACCCATTGAAATCAATTTGCTTAGAGGGGTGTAACTTGGCCCAGGATTGCATTGCAAATCATATGCATGCAACTGTATTTAAAATTGTCTTAGTTTCCTTTTTTTTTGTAGACTTTTCTTCTGACCATATGATGTAGATGTTTAGACTATAAAGAATCCAGAACCTCATTAAAATATTACCTGTGTGTAGAGTTGCCAGGACTGGGCTGGCAACAAGCAGGAAATGGAGGGGACAGGTGGCAGCCATTGGCAATGGCATTGTAGTAGAGATGGGACTATATAGATTTTTCTCTTTTTTGAGTATTCATATTTCTCTGTTTTTTATAGATTTATTATATATTTAACATTTTATTGGAATGTAATGAAGGCCTGCTATATAGAAGGCCTCTCTTCTTTCTGGGTCAAGGGGATTTTTCTAGTTGATGTTAACAGACAAGACAATAACATTCTTTTGGTACAAAAGAAGATAGAAGGTTCATGGTTCTAATTGTTTAAGGTTATAACTTCATAGTGTCTGGGTCAAAAGGATCTTTTACTTGGTATCAGAGAAAAGCACTTTTGTTTGGGTGAGAACAAGCTTTAGCCGATATGGCTTAGGTCATGTCAAGTAAATATGTGACACTATTGCCTACACACACCTTTCTTACATTTGACCAATAAGGAGATTTTTATGTAAATGCTGTTTAAGTTTTTGTAACCAATTATGCCTTTTGAATATTATTCCCATGATGATGATATGATGATGTCATTTTAGGTATTTAACTTCATGTATTTCCTGATTGGGCTCAGAAAGCAGTCAGCTTTGATGGGCCCTTTGGCCTAACTGTTTTCTGTATTTCATTGCAATAAAATACAAGAACTTTCTCCTCATTTTGACTTCAATCCTCTATTTTTGACTGGATATTAATTTGTATAACAAAACTTGGCACCCCAGATGGGACCCACCACTGGTGATCCGGATTCTTGCTGCTGGAAGCGGGGGCCCCAGATGCTTTAAGGAAGGTGCACCTGGCTGTTTTTCAGCTATCCTTGGGCCTCAGGCCTGCTCGTGGATGTAGCTGTTTTGGGCATCAGTTGGCAGATCCCTGAAGTCCAGTGATTTCTCCGTCAAACCTTTCTGGCTTGCAAGGACAGGACAGGCTCTTATATCTTACTTTCTCTTTCTTCCCTCCCACCTTTTCTGTTTAGATTAGTAACATTTGCTTAGGTTAGGATTTAGTAGAGAGTGCTGACAGAACATTTATTTCATCTGTATATGTACAGTTTGCTCATTCCCTTGTGATTATGTTTTTTTTCTTAATAAATTCTTAAGTTTGACCCAATACCTGGATTTACACCCTGCCCTCACTCGGAGTCTCAGAGTCACTTACAAACTCCTTTCCCTTCCCCTCCCCACAACAGACACCCTGTGAGGTAGGTGGGGCTGAGACAAGTCTTTCCAGAACTATCCTTGAGAGAACAGCTCTGACAGAACTATGGCTTGCCCATGGTCATCCAGCAGCTGCAAGTGGAGAAGTGGAGAAGTGGAGAATCAGATTAGCGTCGACACACTTAACCACTACACCAAACTGGCCTGCTTGTTTCTAAGAATCTGCACACCACAATGAGGTGCTGGATCAAATCCTGGACCCTGGTACACAACTGGCAGAATGGTCCCAATAACAATTGCCTGAAGCACACATGTGTATAGGCTTCTGACACATTCAATGGGGATGCTCCTATAGACAGGGTATATATATTTACTTACTTACTCACCCTCCCCTGCTATAGAAGGTTTCAGGGAGAGTAACAACATGTTATAAAAACCACTATAAATAATTATTTTTAATCAAAACTTATTACAATACATAGATGATGCATACCATACAATTCCATCAGTGTGTGTGTGTGTGTGTGTGTGTAATATATAATCATTTGCATTGGGGGGAGGCCAGAAAAGGAAACAGAAGGGAGGCGCAGGAGGAGGCTTTTCCACCAATGGCATAGTTTGGTGGATCCAATTCTAAGGCTGCAATCCTAAGTACCTCTTCGTTGAGCTAAGCATTTCATTGGAACAATGGAATCCCTCATTCTTCCAGCATACTAGTTGGAAAAAATGCCCCTGAGGTGGACTTGATCCACACAGATGTTGCTATGGACATCTGTAATATTATCACAAGAAACGTAACTGTCTAGTGGGCCATTTTCTCAGTATGTTTGCTTACCATGACATGCCTAACATGACTTCTTGATAGATCAAGATTGGTAGCTGTGTTTGTCTGTAGCAGTAGAAAAGAAGGGAGGCCCATAAGGAGGTTGTCATTGCCATTGATCAAGGACCTTGACCATAGGCCTAGTGGAACAGCTCTGCTTTACAGGCCCCATAGAACTGTGAAAGATTTCACAGGACCGGGATCTCAGCTGGCAGAGCTTTTCACCAGGCCAGGGCCAAAGCCAAAAAGGCTCTGGCTCTGGCTCTGGTCAAGTCTAACTGATTACTTCTTGGTCCAGAAACCACCAATAGATCTTTGTTCAAATAATGTAGTGCTCTCGGTGTGTGTGTGGTTATACCAGAAGAGGTGGTCCCAAAGGTATGTTGGTTCCAAACCATACCGGGCTTTAAAGGTTAAAACTAACACCTTGAAATGGATCCAGTATTCAATTTGGAGCCAGTGCAGCTGACGGAGCACTGGTTCGATGTGTGCTCTAAGTGGAGTACAAATTGGAACTCATGCCACCGCATTCTGGACTAAATGAAGCTTCTTGATCAGGCTCAAAGTAGCCCTGCATACAGCGAGTTACAGTGCTCTAGCCTGGAGGAAACCATTGCATGGATCAATGTGGCTAAGTCCGGGTGAGACAGGAAAGGGGCTAGTTGCTTGACCTGATGCAGATGTAAAAATGCCAGTCTGGCAACATTTGTGACCTGGGCCTCCATAGATAAGGAGGCATCCACTATCACACCCAGACTCTTCACAGCTGGTGCTAGAGTTAGAGGTGTTCTGTCAAGAGTCAGGAGTTGACACTTTAGGCCTGGATCTCTCTGGTCCAGCCACAGGAGCTTTGTCTTCATACAATTTAATATCAACCAGCTCTGTTTCAACCATCCAATCACGGCCTCCAAAGCCTCTGCCACATTTTCAGGGGCAGAATCTGGTTGGCCATCCATCAGCAGATATAGCTGTGTATCATAAGCATATCCCACACCAACTGGGCAAGGGGACACATATAGATGTTAAATAACTTTGGAGAGAATAGCCCCCTGGGGGACTCCACATACCAAAAGATATCATGGTGAGACTCATTCCCCAGCGCCACCCTCTGTTACCAACCTTGGAGAAAGGAGGCAAATCACTTGAAGGTTGTCCCACATATCCCCCACATCGGCGAGGTGGTGGATCAACAGGTCATGATCGACTGGGTCAAATGCTACTGTCAGAGCAAGTAGCAACAGCAGCGCTGACCCACCTCAGTTCAGGTGTCTGCAAAGATCATGTGTGAGTATGACCAATGCCATTGTCATCTGTTCCCTGTATCTGAAGACGTGTGATTGCACACGAAAGCTTATACCTTGTGTGGAGAAACGCCATTTTATGTATATGTTTAAGTTGGTGTGGGCCAGATAGGAGGGGACCATCAAACCTGAGGTAGGCCTTGGCCTAGTCTCCTCCTCATTCCCACCCTCCTGTCCCCAAGCAGTAATCTGAAGGCAGCTCCCTAGAGAGGACAGGAAGTCCATCAAGGTTGTGAGGAGATCTGCCCCAGATTCCTGCAAGAGGGAGAGCCACTTCCTGGGCGGGAAGGGCTGTTTGATATAGTGGAGCTTTTGGGCGGGAAGTCAGTCTATGAGAATTGAGGTCGGTCTGTCTGAAGTCTGGAGCTAGTCAGGCTGTCGGCTGGAGTCTGCAGGAGGCAGAGGCCATGTTGGTAGTGGTGCTAATCTAACTTCCTCCAGTGAAAGCAAGTCATGTGCCGTCCCTGCAGACCATCTAGACAGGGTATGTGTAGTGAAGGGAGAGATGGAGCTATTTATTATTCACCTTTATTTTGGTTCTTCAGTTCACTGTTAATATGCCTGTATATAGTTGAGTGGTTTCAAAATAAATCCTTTTTCTGTTGATATTGAGAAGTCCCTCTGTACCGCATAGTTTTCCCACCCGCTTGGACACGCTAGGAGTGGGTTGGGGACTCCCTGAGGAGGAGAACAAGGGCAAAATGGCCAGTTGCCAGCTCTCCAGGGGAGCCCCAAAGATGGCCAGGAAGCCCCGAGGTGGGTTCCTAGCGACATCAGAGTGAGGTTAGGAGGCTGTCCCGCCTAACCAGAGCCCAAGACAGGGACAGTGGTGGCAGCAATACCCGGAGGCAGTGGTGAAAAACTGCCCCTTCAGGTGCCAGGTCAGGCAAAGGAGGGGTCGGCAGAGCGGGGTCGGTCCACTGACGCGGGCCCATTCTGCCAAGCCTCGAATAAAATTTTGTTGGTCTTAAAGGAGTCACTGAAGTCAAACTTTGTTCTACATGTAGGTAGAGAGAGGGTGGGGGGTTAGTTGCCAGGAAGGACTAGTTAGACTCAAAATGCATTAGTCACAGGGCAATAGGGATAGCTATGATTGGATTAAGGCAGTTGGGGTGACTTTTGAATTAGCAGCAAATTAGTATGCAAATACAAGAATGCAGCCTATTATATTATTGGCTTTGTGGTTGGATTGAGACAAGCCTTCCAGGCAAAGCAGAATTTCTATACCATGAGGCTGGTGGCCACTTTTGTACCTGCACACTCAGGGAAACGAATTCCACCCAGACTGTGACTGGGTCAGGTCTTTTAAAAGCACAATTCATTCACTTAGTGCCATGTGGATGTCAATGAGGTAGGAAGATAAATATAAAACCAGAAAGTACAGGTTTTCTTCCGTGGAAGTATGTATGTATGTATGTATGTATGTATGTATGTATGTATGTATGTATGTATGTATGTATTTTTATTTAGAACTGTATTCTTCCATTGAAACCATTGGCAAGGGCCTTCAGGAGCAGTGGCCGCAGGCAGGTGGTCATTATATGAAGAAATGTTTCTGATGACACAAGTGTAGAATTAGTAAGTATTCTGAAAAGCAGATTTGGGAGTGGGGGGATTGATCTGCCTCACACTGGTGGGGTGATTTACCTCAACCCAACCCTCGCCACTTAGGGCTGGCACTCTGAAGTGGCATCACCCAAAGGACCAGGCCTCTGCAATTAGACATAATGTCCACCATTCCAAAAGAACCCATATATTAAAATTCTCTCCAAGTATGTGAAGTGACATCAGAAGAAAGTTTGCCCTGAAGGTGGTTATTAGGTAGATGACACAGGAAGCAGAGGCAGCAGTCCTAAGCAGGTCTACTTTGAAGAAAGAACCATTTCATGGAATGGGTTTTACTCCCAGGAAAGTGTTCTTCAGATTGTAACCCGAGAGGCAAACTTCTCAGACCCTGGGAGGCAGCTCCTACTTGTCATACAATGTGACTTGGCAACATCAACAACCAAAGTTTCAGCAGGCCAGGGAGTCTTTACTACAAAACTGGACCATACAGAATAACTGTCCACATTTTCCTTTGCTGCAGGGTGCTCCCATCCTCTGGCACACCTTGTTCCCATTTAGAGGTGCAGATACCCCACCTCCCCGGGTGTTTTGTGTGCAGACCTTCAGTATGTGCAGCTGTCTTGCACTGTGTAGGTTTTCTGGGGGCAAAAACCACCTTTCATGCTCTTGGGGGACATGAAATTTGATAACGGGAAGCAAAGATTTTTCATAAAAGTGCTGCTGGTGTTGCTGTTGCTGCTTGTACTGCTGACTTGTAATGCGGGCAAGGAGCATTCCATGAATTGCACCACAGAAGTTGATCCTCTTCCTATATCTCATGAGTTTTCTCAGCCTGGTGACTTTGTCATTGGGGGGATTGTGTCTCAGGTCTACTTAGTGCACGAGACTCCTTCTTTTGAGAAGCAACCCTCGCAGATGCTGATTAATGAACCTTTGTAAGGAATTTGTGCTACATTTTTTATATTTGTGTGATCTACTTTTTAAATTTTATGTGTATGGTTTGGCTATTAGTTTACTGCTCTGGCATTGTAGGATAATGTACATTTAATAGAAGTCCTCTCATTTAAAGTCTTCCTATTTATATGCCACAATCTATTACTGTTCTTTCTATTCCGTTATTTCCCTTTACAATTTTAAACACTATTGGAAACATTTAAGCCTCTTCTAGCACAAGCCTCAACAGTTACACCCTCCTAAATTTGTTGACCCCATTGTATTAAGAAGGCTGAAACACTCTTTATGCTATCTTTGTGAGTTGTTTGAAATCCCATTGTTAACTAAGATTCTATTGTTAGTTCCATTGTTCCATTTGATTTTCTCTGACAGAGAATATATGGCACTGCCAGCCGATGGGTATTTTTCCCAAAGAATCTTCCTCCGTATTGTCTTCACAAATATGAGATGGAATTCAATACTCTGGGCCTAACTGCTCAGCTATATTTTATGCTGAGCATATAATCACTTTAATTGTTTTGTTTGTTTTGTTTGTTGGTTCACCGATTCCAAACCAAAAGATTTGACTATTTGCACCCAGAAAGATCATATAGCGCCATTGTGTGTGGCTGGAGTACTTTGAATACAGTCACTCAATGAATGATCACCAAGCCCTGTTTTATAAGTTTTGTGATCCTGGAGGTCCCACAAATAATTATGCCATAAACTTCCAACTGCCACGCACCTCTTCAATAGAAGAGTCTCGCCACTATAGGTTTATATATTCCTTGTATGTTACAGGACATGTTGCAGGAATGTAGATAAGCATAAATATCCAGAATAGTCATTTGCCCAAAGTTAACTTTCCTCATATTATTTCATAGGACCACCAATATCAATTTTCACTTTCAAATGAGTTAGGCAAGTGCTGTCACACAACTTATGCTTTTTATCCACTGCCTTCTGAAGACGCAATAGTAGACAGGGTTATGTTTTGGGAGTGGGGGTTATGCAGATATTTCACTTTGGAATCCCCTTGTCCTTGAGGGTCACCTGGTGCTTGTGTTGATTTCTGAAAGGTGCCAGTGGGGGAAAATATGTTCACCAAAGGGTTCACTAATAAGGGTTTTGGTTTTTTTAAAAACACATCTTTAGTTTGGTAGTAGGGCATGAGACAATCAGGGGAATATTCATGCTTCTCTAATGGAAGAAGGAGTCCATTAGTTACCACCAAAGAGTTTATTAATCAAATACAGAATGGTGACCAAACCCATTTAGCAAAATGTATTGTATCATTCTTCCTTATGTTAGGTTGTCCCAAAGTGCCTTTAACTTCTCAGCATCTGAAAAAAGATTTTTTGGGAAAAATGTTTTTGAATTGATATGTCAATAGATTTCGGCTTCGTAAAGCTACAGAGCTGTGAAACAGGTCTGACAAATGAACCAAAAAATGAGCATTCAATTTAGAGAAATCAGTACTGGTAAGTAAAAGGCACCATTAAATGAGCTATCCATGATGATGCAAGGTACCAATCAACTTTTGACAATTGCTTGAACTGCTGACTCTAATTACAGATCAGAGCCAAAGAACTACCAGCACATCCTGGCCTTGGCCTTTGCAATAAAAGAGATTAATGAGAACCCCCTTTTCTTGCCAAACATTACTTGGGGGTTCCACATCCTCAACAGTTACTATAATGCAAGGATGACCAATAAAGCCATCCTGAGTTTGCTTTCCACACAACAGCGCTTTGTCCCCAACTACAAGTGTGCTGTTTTGAAAAATCCAGCAGCTGTTATCGGAGGACTTGATTCTGAAACATCAGTCAATATGGCCACCATTATAGCCAACTACAAGATGCCACAGGTAGGCCAAACGGAACAAATAGCACATTATAGGCACACTACGGAAAATTCTGTAGTAATACATCTGGGGAAAAATATACCTACAAATTAGTTGCTGTAGATTTTCTGGGTTGTGTGCCTGTGGTCTTGGCATTGTAGAACCTGACATTTCGCCAGTAACTGTGACTGGCATCGTCAGAGGTATAAACACAGAAAGATGGAGTACTCTCTGTGTCAATAACTGCATGTTGTCTTTCAGCTCACGTATGGGTCATTTTCCCCAACCCAGAATGATGGAACTCCTTTCTCTTCCTTGTACCAGATGGTCCCAAAGGAAGCTTATCAGTACATGGGAGTTATCCGTTTACTGCAGCATTTCAATTGGGAATGGATTGGGCTCTTAGCTGTGGATGATGACCGGGGAGACAGGTTTTTGCAGAGTGTGGCACCTCTATTGTCCGAAAATGGCATCTGCTTTGCTTTCTCTCTGAGATTACCAAAACTCACTTATCTGAACGATTTGACAGACTCAGTTCTAAGACAGGCAGAAATGTTTTTGACCGTTTTTGAGGACAAAGCCAGGGTATGCTTTATTTATGCAGAACATCCAGCCCAATTTGTTTCAAGACTGTTGCTGTTTCTAGCACCCTTGGTTCCATTTCCACCGTTGCATAAAGTATGGATTGTTACATCTCAGTGGGATTTTGAATCAATATCCTTTCAAAGGATATGGGATATCGAAAGCTTCCATGGGACCATCTCCTTTGCAGTTCACTCCAAGCAGCCACCACGATTCCAACATTTTCTTCAAGCCATTAACCCTTCCTGGGCAAAAGGAGATGGTTTTATCCAGAACTTCTGGGAGCAGGCATTCAGCTGTTCGTTGAAAGTTTCTGACATTCTGGGTGATAGCGAGAATGCTTGCACAGGTGAAGAGAAGCTGGAGACTCTTCCCGGGATTTTGTTTGAGATGAACATGACTGGCCACAGCTACAATGTCTACAATGCTGTCTATGCTGTGGCACATGCTTTGCATATGATATACCAATCCAGATCCAACAACAGACGGTGGTTAGATGGAGAGAAAACTGTGGTTCAGAATATCCAGCCATGGCAGGTACTATATTACAATGTGGTCATTGTGCTTTCTGAAGTGTATAGTTTACTATGTTTCTCTTAATTTCTATGCACAAGGAAGAAAAATGTCAGCATTTTAAGCAAACAAAAGTAATTGCTACATGAATAGCAAAAACTGAATAGTGTGAAGTGGAGATACTGCAAAGCTCACAACAATTCTCATTTCTTTTTCTCTGTCAACTAGCTGCATCAGTTTCTCAGGAACATCACGTTCAACAACAGTGCTGGTGACACCATGCATTTTAATGAAAATGGGGAACTGAGAGCTGGTTTTGATGTTACCAACTGGGTCACTTTCCCCAATGGCTCCTTCATTAGAATCCAAGTGGGAAGACTTGATCCTTGGGCTCCTTCCGGCAAAGAATTAACCATTCATGACAATCAAATCATATGGCATAGAACCTTTAACCAGGTGGGACACTGAAGTAGAAGCTTTTGGGTGAAGAACTCAAAAGAGATTCTTTTTCTCCCCCATAGATGTGCCAGTACTTGAAGTATGGGATGATTCCATAGTCCATCTTTAGCCCTATGGGTTGATTCCTGCTTTCATTGTCCCTCAAGGTCACACAATTCTTCTCCTTCCTATAACTCACACCTCAAATGGGTTTTGTCCATGCAGGTCCCATGATCCCCAACATTGACTGCTGGGTAGTCAAAGAGGACCCTTCCTCCTTTTCCACCAGTGGAACAACTTGTTGGATTCCATTCTAAGGCTGCAATCCTAAGTACCTCTTCCTTGAATTAAGCATTTGATTGAATCAATGGAATCCCTAATTCTTCCAGCATACTGGTTGGAAAAAAATGTCCCTGTGGTGGACTTGATCCACACAGATGTTGCTATGGACATCTGTAATATTATCACAAGAAACATAACTGTCTAGTTGGCCGTTTTCTCAGTATTTTTGCTTACCATGACATGTCTAACATGACTTCTTGAGAGATCAAGATGGGTAGCCACGTTTGTCTGTAGTAGTAGAAAAGAGTAAGAGTCTAGTAGCACTGTAAAGACTAATAAAAATATGTGGAAGGGTATGAGCTTTTATGAGTCACAGATATCTGAAGAAGTGAGTATCTGAAGAAGTGAACAGTGATAAACAAAAGCTCATACCCTGCCACATATTTCTGTTAGTCTTTAAGATGCTACTAGACTCTTGTAAACATCAATTCTGTATTTAAATATTGGTTCCTCCATGGTGTCATGAGGGTTTGTGAGTCACTGCTCACTTCTTCAGATATCTGTTTGCTCTGGAGCCATCCTTTCTGAGCTAAGACAAAAATGTGTGAGCTGGAGGATAAAAACTGTGAGCTAGCTCACACTAACTCAGCTTAGAGAATCACTGAGAATTAATATGTTTGGGACTTGAGGGCAGTATATCATTTCATGTATTGCAGTCTGGATGCTTTCACTCATTGTTGGGTAATGAAGTCTCAATATGTGAAAGGAATAGTCTGATACTGGAATGAGAGTACATATTTCGATGTGTGTGAAAGCAGTCTATGTTTTGTGCATCAATAATGTGTCACATGTGAAACCCATTTCTCTGCTAATGATTTGCCAAAGTGTTTTTTTTTACCATTGATTTATTTATTTAGGTATTAATATTCAGAGCTTTTTTACAAAAAAAGATGTAAAGCAAACTACAACTTAGGCTAAGACGTTGACTGATCTTTGGTTACCCAGTGACTTTTAATGGGAGAACAGGATTTTGAATCTGAGTTTGTAGATCTTAGTCCAACAGTGAGAGCCAGGCTGATTTCGCACTAGAGCTGCCTCGCTGTTGTGCCACCCTTTGCCCCGGTTCTATTGGTCAATTTCACACCTGAAGCCACGGGGCTGATTTTGACCCGCGGCTTCGTCCGATTTCCCCCGCAGTTTCGTGATCCTGTTTTTTGAGGATCAACAAAACTGCGGAGGAAATCTGGCAAAGACGTGGGTCAAAATCAGCCCCACGGCTTCGGATGTGAAATTGACCAATAGAACCGTGGCAAATGACCGTGCAACAGCGAGGCAGCTCTAGTGCGAAATCAGGCCCAGTTTGGTGTAGTGGTTAAGTGCACAGACTCTAATCTGGGAGAACCGGGTTTGATTCCCCACTCCTCCACTTGCACCTGGCTGGATGAACTTGGGCAAGCCGTAGTTCTGATAAGAGCTGTTCTTGAAAAAGAGCAGTTTCTGTCAAGAGCTCTCTCAGCCCCACCTACCTCACTGGGTGTCTGTTGTGGGGAGAGGAAGGGAAAGGAGTTTGTAAGCTGCTCTGATACACCTTTAGATAGTGAAGGGAGGGGTATAAATCCAATCTCTCCTCTTCTTCTCTTCTTCAGTGTAGCTACTACACAACACTGTCTCAAGATTGTGCTGACTGGCTATCAAAAATGTACCAGGGGCTAACATCCCTTTCTGACTTTGGACAGGTGGTGCCTCTTTCTGCTTGCAATGAAAAGTGCCATCCTGGGTATAGCAGACAAAAGAAGGAGGGAGAGAAATTTTGCTGTTATGACTGTGTTCCTTGTCCAGAAGGGATGATCTCAGAAAAGAAGGGTAAGAGACATGATGTAAATGATATACTCTAAATATGATACATTCAAGAAGAAGAATGTAAAGATGGTCCATACATTGTGCAATCAGGAGTTTCTGGGAACACCTGCCAGTATTTTAGTGTATTTCTTTTTTCAGAATAATTTATTAACATAGTGAATGTAATGCAAGGAATATTGGAAGGTTTGTCTGATACCCTAAAAAAGAATGTTGCTGGTTAACTTCATGTCTTAGAGGTGACGAATGGAACATAACAGTTTACTTCCCACAATTAGAATGTATACCTTACTCGTTTATCTCCTTTTTTGACATGCTTATTGCGTCACCATTTTTGCCCCTTAATTAAATCTAAACAACTGTTGACCTTATAACCTTAGCTTGTAATTTAGTTTTGTCTTTGCATTTCTTAAAACATAATAATGTGACATGCCAGTTTGTTGTTCAGTCTTATTCACAAAAGCAGGTATATACACTACTAGGGCTGTGGTTCTATTAAAAATCTAGCTCCAATACTGATTTTAGTGGGTATGCTGTGAATTAATTAACTGTTTATAACCTCGGTTTTATGGATTTACAATGTTTTAGACTGTATTTTTTTGCATTCTTCTCTGTTTGTGGTTTGTAATGGCCTATGGCTAAATACAATAAAAAACCTTCTCTCACTACTAGGGTTGTGGTTCTATTAAAAATCTAGCTCCAAAGGCCATTACAATAAATCACAAGAAGCTAGAACATAAATAACTTTGTTAAAATGACCAGATCTAAAAATCAATAAATCATGGAATTCACTGCCACAGGCGGTGGCGGCGGCTACAAGCATGGACAGCTTCAAGAGGGAATTAAATAAGCATATGGAGCAGGTATCCATTAATGGCTATTAGCCACAAGGTATAAATAGGAACTCTGGGGCAAGTGATGCTCTGGATTCTTCGGCTTGGGGGGGGGCAACAGTGGGAGAGCTTCTAGTGTCGTGGCCCCATTGATGGACCTCCTGATGGCACCTGTTATTTTTAGACACTGTGTGACAGAGTGTTGGACTGGATGGGCCATTGGCCTGACTCAGCATTGGCTTCTCTTATGTTCATTCCCATATTGCAGTTGAGGGCTAAGAATGAGAGACTGAAGCTTTAAAAAAATCCACAAAAATCAATGTTGTTAAATATTTTAACAGCTTTTTTTCTTTTCTTTTTGCAGATGCAGATATCTGTGTTCAATGCCCTCGAGGTCATTATCCCAACCATCATCAAAATAAATGTGTTCCCAAAACTATAAGCTTCCTTTCTTACAAAGAAGCATTAGGTATCCTCCTAGCCACCTTAGCGATTTCCTTTTCTTTGGTCACAGCATTGGTGCTTGGGACATTTGTGAAGTACCGGAACACTCCCATAGTTAAAGCCAATAACCGAGGCATCACCTATATTCTTCTAATCTCCCTTTTTCATTGCTTCCTGTCTTCTTTGCTTTTTATTGGGCGGCCTGGAAAAGTGACCTGCCTTCTCCGACATACAACATTTGTCATCGTATTCTCGGTAGCCATTTCTAGTGTGTTGGCCAAAACCATGATTGTAGTTTTGGCCTTCATGTCTTCCAAACCAGGATCTAGGATGAGATCACTGGTGGGGAGAAAAGTGGCTTATTCTGTTGCCCTTTCCTGCTCCCTTGTTCAAGTATGTATTTGCATTCTTTGGCTAAGTACTTCCCCGCCATTCCCAGATATGGACACGTTCTCAATGAATGAGAAAATCATACTGGAATGTAATGAGGGTTCAGCAGTTATGTTTTACTGTGTCTTGGGCTACATGGGCTTCCTAGCTATAGTCAGCTTCATTGTGGCTTTCCTAGCCAGGAAGTTACCAGACAGTTTCAACGAAGCCAAATTTATCACTTTCAGCATGTTGGTCTTTTGTAGTGTTTGGCTATCTTTTATTCCAACTTATCTGAGCACCAAGGGGAAATCCATGGTGGCCGTCGAGATCTTCTCCATCTTAGTCTCTGGTGCTGGTTTACTGGCTTGCATATTTTCCCCAAAATGTTACATCCTTGTTCTGAGGCCTGAGCTGAACAACAGAGGACTCTTAATAAACAGGAAAAAATAAAGATAATACAAATCTGTATTCTTTTTTTATGTACTCCAAATGAAATGACAGAAATCTACCATTTTATTTATTGTCTTTATGTTTTTGCAACCGGAGTCATAAACAGCAAACCCTCATCCCATAATAAACCTCGTTCCACAGGAAAACATGGAAGTATTTAAAGGTTGCCACTGCAAAAGTTGTCATGGGATTTGACAACAGCTGCTAGAAATGTTGCCACACGTAGAGTAGTTCATTTGTATTTGTTTCTAAGTAGCCTGGAGATTTTTGGTTCTGGAGAGAGGAAGTCACGATTAAAGGGGATAAAATGTACCGTTTCTAAAACTCCTTGTACAAAATTGTGCCAATTCTACTGGTATGTAGCTGGTTTAAATTTGACGTAAACTTGCGCCCTTATTCTTTAAGTTAATTGCTGACAGTTTTACATTTGCTATGTAATGTCCCCCAAAACATTTATCAGATGGTTACAACCATTTATTAAGTTTCCTCAGACTTGGCTGACTTGGCTATGAGAATATGTGACTGGGGACCTGCAAGAAACATGTGGGGAGGGTGAATCTCATCCCCCTGCATATGCTTCTTTTCTCTTCCCCTATCTCTAACAATCTTCCACCCCTTCTTTCCCCGTCCTTCTCTGACAATCTCCCCCTCTCTTCCCCACTTCCCCTTCTCAGTCAATCTTACCCCCTCTATTTCCCCTTTATCTGATTATCTACTCTGTCTCTTCCCCCTTGACTGTCAATATCCCCCCATCTCCCCCCTATTTTACCTTGGTCTTTCCTTCAGTAGCAGAGCCCCTGGCATCCAGCAGGGCTCTAGGGATCCACCATATCAGCTGCAGGGTCCTTAGCAAACCTCTTCACCAACATCAATGGCAAAAATTTATTGAGTATTTTTGGTTTCCTTTTTACAAACTTCAAACTTGGAAAAGAACATTTGACTGCCCCCATAAATTTTCCCCAGAGGCAAAGGGAGCAGAGACTCCCGCAATTTGCGGCTTGCCAGAGTTTGGGGTAGTTCCTTATTTTTCAAATTGAGGGGATAAACTTTACACTGAAATCTTCTATCTGCTAGCTGGGAAAAGACTTCTACAGAAACTTATCTTATTTTTAAACGAGCTGATTTAATTTATGGAAAGGAGGACAGGCTTGCGGATTTAACATGACCACCGTGTCTTTTCTATCTCCGTAGTTCACTGATTGTGTGTGAAGGCTGCCTGTTCGGGAGTGCGATGGCTCTTTCAAATGCGTTGGAAAAGAAGGAAAATGCCTTTGGAAATATATTGCAGTTGTCAGATGAATACTGGGATCACTTTAAATCACAACTAGCGATAAAGATCATGGACGCTATCTCTGAAAAGCTGGAAAAGTTCTTTGAAAGAGAGGAGAAACTTACCCTCCCTCTTCTGCCTCCTCCTGGCTGAATGAGGGCTGGAAGCGGGGCATCCGGAAGCAGGGGGTGGGGCTTCATTTTGTGCCCCGCCCCCCGCACCTCACCCGGGGGAACTGCGATCCCCCGCGATCCCCCCCGAATCGACCTCTGGTTCTTTGAAAGAGAGGAGATCATGTTGCTTGAAGCGCAAGATGATGAAGCACAGATGACATCATATAATTTACAAAGCGAAGAACGGCCGAAACTGTTTCAACACTTGACACTCAGAATGAGAGGTTCATTCAGCTGTAACTTTGGAGATTCTTCAGCAACTTTGACATTTGGAATGGCTGGATATAAGACAGCCCTGGATGTGTGGGTGAGACTGGACTTTGTGTGCTATTTCATAAGCAAGATGGAAGAAGATGAGACCTTCAAAGATCAAAAGCATAGAAGGCTAACGATTTTTGGGAGGCACTTGCAGATGAAACAGAAGAAACTGATATTTCATAAGTATCTGTAACAATATATCCTGACTGTTTGCATGGGTTATCTGATCAAAGAGATAAAGATTTATCTATAGTGGAACCCTAACTGCTAAGAAATACTTGTTAATATACTATTTCTTTTTCTCTTTTTTGAACTTATGTATAAAATTATCTTGACTGTT